AACAACACATTAGCAGATAAAAGAAGCAAAAACACTTTGGAAAACAATTACTATTGTCTAGCTTCCAATAGTATAKTGTCTTCCATGAATGACTCGATATTCAGTGGTTTGGATTGGTAGGATCACAACTGATGCATAACACCTGGCAATGTTTGCTAGTAGTTTTGGCAACTTTTCCTCTAAACTTCGGAATTTTTGCAACCTAGAGGGTAAGTATTGCGCCCTGTTATTTCCTACGATGGGGGTTTAGATAACGGCCTATTAAGCCATTATCTTGCTATATATGACAAAACATTTTAAGCCATTAACTTGTTCGGTTAAAATAATTTTAATATAATATAAGAATAAGCATTATATATATATAAACATTTTAAGCCACTAAAGTTAACGGCTTAAAATGTTTTGTTATATATATCAAGATAATCACTTATTTAGCCATTATATATAGTCCCTCCTACGATTGAATATCATGAATGATTATTAACTTCTATGATTCAATAATTCTCTATATTCAGATTGGTTCTGTTAATCATTTCATATAATCAATTCTATTCATCACTCTCCACGGTTCCTCTCCACTAAGAAAAGTTTGTCGTTCTTTCTCCTCATTAATCATRCCAWTGGATACTTTACTTATCAGACAACTTTTGGTCTTTCGTTGCTGTGTTTTGACTTCAAGATTAACATGTACGATATAGAAATATTCGCGTCGTCAGTAAAATGGATTCGTGTTTTATTTTCAGGTTGTCATGGGAACTTGCTGTTCAATTCAGGAAAATARATCCAACTTCGCTTTGCTTTGTAAGCTTCTTATTGACATTGGTACAMCTGTTTACAGGAATGTACTTAATTCACTGCACACATCCGACTCCCTTCAAACTCTGGTAAACAAGCCTAACGTAAAAAACACATTCGAAGAGTTAAAAAGTAAAGGAACTTTAAACCAAGAACAATGGAACAAGATATATCCCTTTGAAGTATCTCTAGATATCTCTGGATTCGACATAACGCTGCTTTCYTTTCTGCTTAAGAGTATATGCAGCTTGAASCGCCYCSCCASKGGATGGGATAACGTCCCTTCGTCCTCGGACGTCAGTACAGAAGCTGATCTCGCAAGAATTACTTCGATTAGAAATCAAATTCATGATTCTACYTCGCACATTTTCAGTGATAAAGATTTHTTGGATTATTGGTGTGAAATTGAACATGCATTGATAAGGTTGGGAGGTACTCGATTTGAAGAGGATATTGACAAGTTGAAAAACTCTTCTATTGATATAAAAGATAAAGAGTACTTCATTCAGAAATTGAAAAGATGGAAAGAAGAGGAGGAAAAACTATTGRATGYAATGGAAGAGATTGGGAATGGAACGCTTAGTCCTACAGCAACAATTAGKRCTGAAGRAAGCTCTAAAAGCGTGCCTCATGTKCAGCMGGTTAAAGTGATTTCTTTTGTAGATGTTGACGCTTACATGAATAGTTTAAAAAGAAGTGTTAAACGCTACACCGAAAGCCTACCCAATTATAGCTTCAACACAATGGTGACTATGGCAACAGAGGAAATATTCAAAATCAAAATCATTGAAACTACCACAGCACAAGAAATAACTAACCAAAACGCTTGTTTTGAAATCGAAAARTGTTCAGATTTATTCATAAATAACCGAGACAAAAACCCAACAAGACTTGTTATTATGGCAGGTCAGGGAGTTGGAAAAAGCCTTTTCTGYATGAAACTGTTAAGAGATTGGTCAGTTGGACAACTTTTTGTTGACAATAACGGACCTAATCTGAAATTCGCGTACTTTTTGACATTTCGCGAGTTAAATCTAATGGAAAATCTTAGTTTGACGGATTTACTGAATCTCTCTTCGTTGTTGGATCATGATTGTGTGRTAGACGATGCATTGATGGCATACTTTGTGCAACATTCTGATCAGCTAYTAATAYTGATGGATGGGATTGATGAGTTTGCGCACTATTGTCAAATTGGGAGTACATTTGATAATCGTTATCCGGACGATGCGCATGTTGAATTGCCAGTTGCTGTTCTGTGTGCGAAACTCCTGCAGCGAAAACTACTTCCACAGAGTGTCCTAATGGTCACTTCAAGACCAGACGARGCAAAGRATGCTATARRGAAGGTGCACTTCGATAGGCTTTTAGAAATCAGTTCTAGTACAACGAAAAATGTCAGTGGACCGTTTCGGTACCAATTCTGGTAAAGCATTTTGTAGGTAATCTCCACATCTCACAGAGTGATGCAATTTCTYTCTCCTCATTCTCAACGATTTGTKTTCTTTCACTTTTATCAAAGACTTGAACAGTTATGTGAGTCAATTTACAAAAAAGTAAGGCGGAATAACCTTAGATATTGCCGAACTGCAACTGAAATGATAGAGATATTCTGTTGTAGTTTGGGGACTTTACTAAACTATTCACGTCATGAAAACGAAATGATCATGAGTATAATAGTGATAATAATAATAAAAAAAATAACATCAAACGAAACCTCTACTTTCTATCATTTCACATATTTTTTAAGTGCTACACTATCACAGACTACTATGCTTTTTCTATGTCAATATATATATAATATATCCCTCTAAATACTAGCCTAACATAATTCTTCTATAAGTTGCATTATTTACAATGTGGTGCGTATAAATGATGATTTGTTGACATTTTGAAATAATTGAAGAATGAAAGAAAGTGTTTAATCATATAATTATCTATGAAATACCTTTTGAAATGTGCGGTGCTCAAATAATTAAGTCGAATAAAAGTTGTTTTAAACAATAATTTCCTTTCATGGATGTTTATATGATAAACAGAATATTGCATGGTAGCTTCGAAGTACGGATTTCATCTTCTTGTGTTAAATTTCGCCGCCGGTCTTTCGTAAGGGATCTTTTCAACACTCGAAGATAAAATCGTACCCTTGCGTAACCATAGTATTCTCTATCTAACTTTCTTTGAACTCCCGTTTCTCTCCCTTTTTCTTATGGCTTGGGTCATATTACAATATAACATTTCCTTGGTGCATTTCTCGCTTTCAATTCATTTTCATCGTCCATTATAATTTACTATAGACTTTGCTTTCCACAATCTCTCCTTTGCTATACTTTGGTGGCCTGAGAAGTTCGTCGCATCCGTGGACTGTCGAATCAAGTACACAGTTAATGTACTTGTCTATCATTTCCTCCAGGAATTTATACGGCGTTGGTCCATAATGAAGCAATTGAAAATGAAAGTCTTTTAGATTAAACTTCGTTCCAAGCATTTTCTCTGCTCTTTGTCTGAGAGTCATTATCTGTGATTTACCTATCAAATACGCTATTGCTTGACCAGGAATACTTTGGTAGCGCGTTATTTCTTTGTCTGGGATATCACTGCTATCCCACAAGTATTTGTATTGTAGTTCAAGTGCTTGTTGACGAGTAAGGTTACCAATTATGTGAAATCCTGTGTCTAATACTAGTCGAATTGCCTGCACAACCTGAAAAGGATAATATTGTTAATATTAGATATTGATATTGCCATTCTAAGTCGACATTCAATGCGGTCGTGGTTAAGATTTTCTATATGGAAAGTGAGGGATCGAATCTGACAATATCTCTATTCAAACGGTACAATGGGGTAATAAATAAGTAGCTTTTTGTTTTATTATGTTAAGTAAAGCTCGCAAGGGATGCCGGTTGACCATGAATCTTCAGTTTCTGTTGCTGCGCATTCCGGATTCCAAGATTCTGGATTCCAGATTTCAGGGCCAAAAATGGTTGGATTCTGAATTCCGTGTCGTGGGGAGATTAGCGTTWTATGCGGGTTATGAGGGAGGCGTGATTTGTTTCCCATCTTTGTTTTGTGAATCAGTGTACTAGTGCGGAATGAAGTCAGTACAATCAGGGCCAGGTTACAYGATACTAAAACAGGTGACAAAGGCGCGATCCAAATCAACATTTACCTGCCACTTAAGATTCCCATACTTTAACAGAGGTTTGCCTTTGTAGGCGTCTGCGTCTATAGCAATCAGTGGACTTTCAGCGTACACAGCCCAGCCTTCTTGAAAGCCAAGGAAGTGTGTCATGTCTGACAACCACTTGATGATTCCTTCATCAGAAGCAGAGAACCGTTCTATGTACCCTTGAGCCTTCGAAAAAAACAATGATATCAAAGGTTATACAATTAAGGATTGACAGCACAAAGGAAGACAAAGAGTTACTAAGATCCTTTTGATGCACCGAGTGAATAAATCGCGGGTTTTGGACGTCCAGATATTTCTGCCAAAGCTAAGACCCCTTTTGTGATATACTCTCCCAATTAAATAATCTATAAAAATCTGGTCACAATTTTATTAGAAGTTATTTTTAGTCAAAAACACTACTAAACAAACAAAGGAAAAATTCTCACTTGGAGGTGGTGCCCWGGTCTCGTCTCGTGGGCGCAAATGGTCCATTCTTCGTACTTGGGTCCAGGCTTCTTCAAGAAGAATGGAAGTGAATAWCTGGCAGATTGGGAACACTGAGCATCTGCAAATTCATAGCCCTGGGCAGCAGTCGATGGATTGAAGATTGGTTTTAGGTCAACTGGACAGTTAGGAGTGGTATGTTTAGAGCCAGCAAAGTGGAACTGGTTGACAATTTTGGCGTCTAAAGCGGCCATTATCTAACAACAAGGAATAAACTGAATATTAAGAAAATTATTTGAAGTATTTTCGCATCTAAAAATAATCCCTTTTATACGTTTACAAGTCTACAATCTGAGACGGAACTGAACTTTGGGCCTTGCTAAAATCGCTTTTACAAAAATGTTGAAACGTTCTGTAGAGATTCAAAGAGTTTAAAAAGTCAACCCAAAAACGAGAGAGAGAGATATGATAGGACGGCAAGTTTCACCTGTCTTGAATAGGTAAACCACTTCTGAATGGCTTTCCATCGTACAGGACAGTGTTTCTTYGCGCCTTCTGGAGAGCTGCACAGTTTGTAAGCCGTCTCGTTGGACTCGGAATCGGGAATCGCTGTGTCGTTAAAATACCATTTATCTTGTTTGAGAATCCCCATCAGTTTATCRGTGGCATTTTTCTTGTCTTTTTCACCAGTGACTTCCTGGGCTATTTCCACGACCTGAGAGAATAAACAWTTGCACTTAGAATTAGTGGTTGCTAATCTCTACAACCGAGAAATCATTTTATATTGTTAATAACATCATTTGCACGACTTTCAATGTTCTCGTCATCTCTACATATTTCATGAAAGAAGACATTTAATTTATCAAAATAATGGCTCAGCCAGGCAATACGTTTTTCTAAAAAAACAGAATGGGAAATTCAGTGGCTTCCGTTAACTACTTGCGAATTTGCGAAGGAAATACGAAAACAGATCGTGGTGATTGTAAAAGCAAGCGTGAGGACCGACATTTACTACAATGATTTGCTCAAACAAAATGGCGTCCCAGCGCACCTATTAGTAGATTCGTATAAGAGGCCGACAGAAAGACACTAACAGACAGACAAATATCTGACAGATATAAGCTTATATGATTTCACCTGTTTRTAATATTCATCTATGGATTTTTTTCCAAATTGATTGATTTCTTCTGGAGTTATGTCAGTTGTAGTGTAATAATTCAGAAGTTTTTTGTACGACTTTGTGCCATTGATAAGCTCTCCTGTCGGCAATCGTTTTGTAGTCGGACGAATTGCAGTCCCGTTTTTGTAAACATGGCTAACAGGAAGGTCTTGGTATCCTCTGATRATATGATCTGGGGGGCAGTATTCCATGTGTTCATCCTCAAGGTATCTGAAAAATGTAATAACGCCGTGAGAGCTGTAGCGTCAACGAGTCGTGCAATTGTCCCAGCATCAACTGACGTCATTATCGATTTGAAGCTAAATTTGTTTCCCGGTTTTTCTATCTTCAACGCGTAATAGTCGGTTAACCAATTTCGGATCTCTTTTTTTTGCCAATCACGCTTTATAATTGTCTGTCACGTGACATGAGCGGCCATGTTAAGTGGATGTTCCAATAACGTTACTTTTGTGTGTATCAAGTGAAAATGTCTTAAAATACCTTAGAAGATCAGCTATAGGCTTTCCGACGTAGTCCAGAAAGTATTCTTTGAGAGACTCGTTCATACTTTTGCCGTATTTCACACGCCAAGATTCCAATTCGTCTGGTTTGTCTTCCAGATTCGATAAAAAAGTATCGAAGAATGCTTTTGTCAGAAATTGCTCATCGTCGATGAGTATGCCTGGATACCAGAAATGTAATAAAATGGAACAGAGTTAATATCTAAAGCTTCACGTCTTGATTTCGCGGCTTCTCCATTTAAAAAAGTGAARTGCTGGAATATTATTGCATTTGTAAAAAAATGCTGTTGCGCTGYATAGCATTGCTTACCACGATCCCCTCCTGGGAGCGAATTTATCGCTAGCAAGGAACGATCTGGATGAATGAATAATGACTGCAAACTAAGTGTCTTCTTATTCTAAGAGGTTCGGCATTTAGTATTTTAGTTTATAGCTTGAAGCAAATATGGCAGAAGTAAAATCAGTGCTTATATTGTAAACACAACGGTATACAATTATAAGCCACGCGCACTCCGTCTGCWAAGCAAAAACTAACATGCAATAACAACGTTAACTCACCTTCTTTGCCATGCAAAGCAATGTTGACGAATTTTTCCTTTAAGCCRTCGTATCCAGCTTTGCACCCTTTAAGATTACGAACCATTCCAACTTCAATTCCCATTTTGAGATTTTCAACATATTGCACAAAGGTCTTGTTAATACCATTGAGTTTGTTACGCAACATTTCCATATCATTCACGTTATAAGGCTTTAATTTCAGTAAAGTTCGAGGAAATGTTGAGTGAATCRCACAGATAGGCATCCAGCAGAATACATCTGGGCCGAGCATCCAATCACCTATATAATARTCATACCCATAGGGCACTCCAATTGGCATTATGTGTTTAGTCCAAAACAAGGCTATTTCTAGCGCCCGTTTTTCTCTGATACTGAGTTTTTTTCTGGTAACTCTCGTTTGTAATTCTTGCAATTCTACCACTAGTTCTCTACATTTTTCAGTAATGTATTTTATCCTTGCTGGGGATAAGTCCATGGATTGATATTTCATACGAATTTCATTTTCACTTACTCCAGGTTTGTCAATAATTCGATTTGGATAAAGCTCAAAGTGGGTTCTCTGAAGTTTCTCGAGTAGTCTATTGAGTCCTGATTTGCGWGCTTCGCTAGTGTAGACGTTTTGTTCGATGGAGTTTTCAGTCTCGTCTAGTGCTGTATACTTAACCATTAGTACAATTCCAGCGATCATGCAAGCAAGACCGATGACTAGAACACCACACGCCACCACTACCACCGCTTTACCATTTTTGCCACGTTTTTTCATTGTGAGAAGAYTGAACACCCCTGTCTTTTACTCGCGCCGCTCGTGTCCCTGCAAAAAAGAAACAAATTCAGCCTGAAATGCTAGCATCTTCTTCATGAATCTTGTAATTGTCGTTTACAGCTATGTATTTTTACAGTAGAATGACTCTATAAAATYATGTCAACCCATATATAGCAAAAATCTAACWGTCGAAKTCTTTACACCGCAGTCACTTTGGCTCCGATGACGAAACCATCAAGATTCAGGTTGTACAGCAAGTAGAATAGCGATCGCAAATCGAGTCAAAACCGCATTACAAATACCTATAAAACTGTGGTCTYGAAACAGTTGTTATTCCGCAAATTAGCATGCAATTGTCCGCGAACGTCGCGCATACAGTCGATGGACGGGCTAAGTTCTCTATTATCTCTTTGAATTGAATGTTTTCATTCCAAGATAGCATGTTGTTGAGAACTCAGTCGTCACGACATGAGACGGCTGCGTTTTGTRAAATGGTTTTGATGCTTTAGAATTGAGTAATCAGAAACGGCCACGGTTGAAAGAATCTGACTCCTAAATATATTTCCATTTATTCATTGATGTGGAAGGACAACACTGACCCCACGGTAGGGCATTGATCCTAGGCAAGATGGCTGACTATCAGAACCGCTGGGTCTCTGCATGACGTAGTACTTCAGTCTCCTAAGGAACTCAGCGTAGTCTCTTTTATACCAGAAAAATCCAGTCACGAAATTCATTTTCTGTTTGATAGTTCACACTTGCTTGCAATTGCATTTTATTTTTAATACATAATATTATTAGTTATCAATAATAATAAGATACTCAGTGAAAAAATGAAAATGCGTAACTTCTGCATGATTCTGTCCTTCATTTTCATTAATTGTCTCTTTTTCTTCTGCGTCAAAAACAGAAACAGAACCTGTTTCCTTCTGCCTCAGAAACAGAACARAACAACAATCACTGCAAATATCTGATCTTTTTCCTTTTTGCTAGCTTAATTCTTTTATCCATTGTCATGATGTGTTTTAATTGGTGTGTTTTCAAAACGTGGACAGCTATCATAACGGCAATCACCGATACCGTGAGAATAAGTGAGTCCTTTTGTAGCTGTTTGAACGCGTATCTTTTCACTTATCTGATTATGACTATTCAAACTTTACGGATGTCGCATGGATCAATGAAGTAACGATTTCTCACTTTTATAAAGATGCAAAGAATGTCTCTAAGCTTTTAACCGACAGTTTACCACCTTCATCCCTCTCACTTCTTTTTTAACTCGAAGAGAGGTGGAAGATTTGCCACTCACTCACTCACTTTCCTGTAAACTGCCGTTGTTACTATAGTATAGCCTCAATAAACTATTCTTTTGAAATGAAGATTTTTCAGTGAACAAAAGTCCCTTGGTTATCCCCAGGTTCCCTGGTTCAGCGATGAATTTAAATTTTGATTTTCTCGACTGCTCCAAAACAGTTGGAATACATGTAGTCACTGAGAGAAATTATTATTTCGGAAATGATTACCCGCACATGTAATTCACCAAAATGCTGTCATTATAATRCTAAATACTGTAATTCAAAATTGAATATTCGACGTATTTAACAATTCCATTGGCGGTGGTTAACACTAAATTATATAAACATCAACTTTAAATTAATAATTAATTTGAGTAGGGACTTAATGAACACAACTCGGGTTTACGGCCCAAAAGAATTCTGCAAAGCCGTGATAATGACAGTGATTATAGACAAACTAAAAGTTCATTCATTCGTTTGAGCATTTGAAATCTATTGAACWATCTTCGAGTTGTGTTGCCAYGGGCGGCTTGATTCGTTACTTGCATGGCACTTTATAACGCAACATAACACACCCWTCAGCTTTTGCGGTGACTTTTGAATACAGTGGTTTTGTTATAAAAAGAGCGATAACAGATTAAAATCAAATCAAAACGCGGAAAAATTAGTCAAAAAATCAACTCGCATWATCATTTAAATCCTTCATTAAACTGAAGTGCTTTTCAAGCCCACTTGTGAAGACTGGAGACGCCTTTTTCAATAAGCTTCGCATTTTGAAATTCCGTCTCTCTTTAGATGCAATCTATATTAAGCCTCTTTCGGAATAAAAAGAGTACGCAGTACTTTCGGATAATGCGTGTGGTCGAGAACTAACAAAAATTTGACAAACCCAAGTAGATTAGAGCACATTTAAACTCAATTATCACCGAACGGCATGGTAGAAAATGACATGAATGAATTCAAATAGATAACTTACGCTATGACCTGCTCTACGAAATAATGGATTACAAATCTCTTTGATCAGATCCGCTTACCCCAAGAACAAGGCACTTGACGAACTCTCCAAGAAGGCCCTTCCATCAAACTGACAAATCCATGATTTMGATACCATGACCATATATGATCAACAAATGACGTCATGATAYATCACATGCTTTCGTCAGCCAATAGAATGCTGCGCCAATYAACCAATGAGAAGAGATAGTGTCCTTATCAAAGGAAAACGCCGTAATCTGCTTTCAGTTACAAATCGTCGCGTTAACATCACCATAATTATGGAATTAATAGGTTTTAAGCATGAATCTTGATAAGAGGCTTAAAAAGYGAGAAGTACCGAATTCTCGAGGATATTGTTTAAGGCGGAGAGTTCACCAAATATCGACAAATAACGCTGAACGATGCCGACTAACTACGAAATAATTAACTTTCCATACCTTCTCGTTAAACATGTATAGAAAGAAATATGACAGATGATGATTCACCGTAGATTTTTAGCAAAATTGCTYCATTAAGAGACAGTTCGGTTTGTTCTACAAGCATACAATGAAGCGACTTATAAGATTTATACGTATAACACTAAAACTGACACTGAATTAAGCGGTTCCTCTTTATGAGCGCCTCTTGATTATAATACAGGATAGAACGGTCGTTGAAAGGCTACAATAATACCTTGTAATCACATAGCAATCACGTTTTTGAACTCAATCGTGTTTGCTGATCKTAGATACGYATTTTTCTTGTAAAAAATATCTCGAGTGTCAGATGGCTTTCCTTATTATTGTTCCCAGGCTTTGAAAAAAGACCAAAAACAACAGATTTATTTGTAATAATCCCTATACATGTGGAAAGTTTCTTAGAGATTTGAATTGGTGTACAATACTATAACTTGAGACTAGTAAAATATTATAGGGAGACTAGTAAAAYGATATAGTGGGCACATGTCCCATAATTAAAAACGTATTTAAAACTGCAATCGATAGATATGCCAATGCCTAATGATATCTGCATTATCTACTACTATGTCATATGTTCTATTATTATTTTTTTTGTTGAACGATTTTCAGTTTTTAGCTGTTCTTCATCTTTTTACGTTCATTCAAGTCACGGACATGGGGCTAAGCTCAGAAMTTTAAAATCAGTTCTTATCGCATTAAAACTATTCCTATTTTTATCAGTTACTCGTTTCCTCATTTGGCGTCTCTTTCTTTATTTCCCCACCATTTTATTATYTTATTTTTCCTGCTTGGTGCGCTGGCCAACACTACTTTGCACTCCTCAGCTCGATTTACTTTGAAAATATCTAGGAACTTTCCCTCAGATTATGTTAATCTACCTAAAAAAAMCCATCAGTTCACGCTGTTATTTGCAGGAATTCTGTTCAGGCAGACCTTCACATGCCAACAAGTTCTAGTGGRTTAATTAATTAGTGCTCTTAATGTCCACACATCTGAACATGTGAGTGACATTTTGCTTTTATACCAAGGTCATTGCCTATTGTATACAGCTAGTCGAAAGAGTAAATGTTTATTACACTATATTGTAATCTGGTATATCTACCTGTAAATTGATTGGGATCTCAATAGAGGAAGCTGTCACTCAAAGGTTATCAGGCTGTGAGACTCAGAGGTAACTCTTGGACTGGAAAGTTAGTAGAAACAGACTCTTGTTTTTTTATCGGTATGTTTAATTGACGACAKTTGCGTCAATTTGAATGAAAACTTATGGCTYACATACTTATAGATTTGAAGGAAAATTGATCCCAGAATAAATTACAAGGGTATTTCWTTTAGGAAACAACGTCACTGATTTGCACCTGCAATAYTTTAGTTTTTAAAATGTCTCATGTTTTCATGGATATGATACAAGACATGCAATAAATAATAACATAATACTGTAACCTTCTTTGCTAATCATTCTCTCTTCTATCCCCTATTCTCTCTCACAGACGTAACTTCCGGTTTCGTCAAAGGGAGGCTGCGAAGTCTGCGAAGGACTCTTTCCCTCTYCTATCCCACAATAGAACTCATCATCCTGGTTCACCTATCCTGCCTGGCTAAATGCTCTGTCAGCCAAGTACGGTGATAAAAAGGAAGAGRGAGATCAGAGGCGCCATGCAGGCTAGGCTCGTCCCAATACAAACCTCACCCACTCTCGAAAACAGCGACGGGCATTACATCGTTATCATAGATCATCGTCATCATCGTTATCATAGATCATCGTCATCATCGCAATCATTATCAGAAAATACAGAAATGTTTTTAAGGCGCAAGGTAGCGATGATTAGTGAAATGGTGATGAGTAAAAAGAGGGCACATTTTACACAGATGTTCCCTAACTTCTGGACTGCACTCTTGAAAGTTCGCTTTTCTGTACAGCAAGCAACTTCTACTCGCCGGTCACTACGTACTGATACGCCATTAACCTTGATAGCCTGAGTATTATCTTACCATCTCAAAGCAAGTTTCATAACAAAGATCTTACTGATGATACCGAGTACTATTAATGAAGGACATGGGGGGATATTTATCATTTATCGATATAATGGATAATAAAATACAGCACGGGATCACGGAATAATAAYAGTTGCGCTTATGGTGGATGTTGTGGAGTGACGATTTATTTYGGTGTGTGTTGTTTGGCSGCCGTATGTTAGCTTTCTTTTAAATGATTTTTGCTTATCGAAATGCATCTGGTCGCATATTGTCCTCGAAGCCTGATGTCACTAAAGTCTGACTTGACTGGACATATGGGATATGTTTGGGAAAGGGGTTTCTGATGCAAGCAGAGAAATTCAACCGCGTGCGATATTACTTGAAAGAGGTTGAAATAATATTACCAAAATTTTAGGCACTTACATAAAAGAGTGTTTTAATAAATTACGAGTGGTTTTGAAAAGGTTAAAGCGCATGCTGCCGGTTTAAGCAACAGTTGGTCAACAGTTGTAGACTCGCTTTCAGTGGTACGACGGAGATGTTTTTTAAAGTGCTAAAAGTTTGTCTGTCATTACACAGGACTTATAACCTTGTATAGCACTCGACACTTTGTGATTCCGTTATTATGCTATAACTTGTACAACCATTGATCATCTACTTACTGCAATTCGTTTAAATCAGCATCCCAAGGAATGTTTTCAGTAATATTAGTTCTCTCAGTATTGTAAGACTATACTACTAACGCAATATAAGACCAGATCACAACGTTCAATGAAAAGATACATTACCAGAACGTAAGGTTTGCTAAGTCATTACTGAATACTGATAAAGTTTTTCAATGATGTGGCTTACCAGTCAGTGTCCTGGTTCCTACGTCTTTCCGCTTCGCATAAGAGATAGTCTAGTTGCTAGTCTGCCGCTTTAGTGGYTAATTGCGCTATACATCCGCAGTACGACTCCAAAGCGCGTATCGAGTCGTGAGAGATCGTGATCCTCTAGGTCAAGTATATGGTTTACAATGCAGAGAATGCGAAACGAGAGTCATCTGGGAGTCCTAATCGCTCTTGTTCATGCGTTTAGCACACTTGATTTTTATTAATTACCCTTGCGTAACTTCACAAAAACAACCACTTAGAACATGACGTCACTTTGACAGAAAAAAAAGATGGCGGAACAACTTACCAAAAATCTGAGTTGTTAGCATTTTGTAGATTCTACCTTCCCCGTTGAACTAGAATATTTGTTGGCTTTTACATGGCATTCAACTTTTTGCTTTMCTTTGTTGCATGTCAGCGGTTTTTCTCTAACTACCAAGGTTTGGGCAGATTGGTAAAACCTTGGAAGGTGGGACACGAAACCGCATCGCTCAGCAAATCGGATCTGTGTGGTAAAAATRATCAGGAAATGAAGCGGGGCGTTTTTAACAGAGAGAAGATTTGGTGAAATATTTGAGTGCATACCAAAAGAAACAGAAAAAAGACCTTAGAACTGTACGCCCAACGGAAGAGTATTAAGTGACCCTCAGCTGGAAGTGAGCTGAAGAAAGCAGAACAGCTTGAGTTGGGCTTGGAATTCAGTTAACTACTTCTGCTTATTATTTTATTACTATCGCCAATAGGCTAATATACTATTTCAAGTAGCCCGGAACAGATGAAAAGCATCGGGCTGCTCAGTCCTAKAGTGTGAACAGCAAACTTCAAGGAATGAAATCTTTATCAAGTGGATTTTATCTATTTCAGATAACCTTCATTCGCTGGATATCCGGAGCCTCGCGACTTATATCTATTGTATCTCTGTATAGCCATATGGAATGAATTGTCTGAAWTTTGTCAGATCGTCAACATCCTCAGCCCCCAGGCATAGCGTAAGGCAATAAGAGTTTACCAATTGACGTTGAACTTGCTCAAAAATA